AGCACTCAAGAAAGGTATTATGCTTGTCCTTGGAAAAGATTTGTCTTCTTCATGCTTGGGATCTTACTGGAGAAATTAAAGAAACATGAACAAGTGAACCAGATAAAAGCCCTTCTTCCCAGAGAACCAGAAACAGTCTGGTTCCTGTCTTCTCATCAGCTGCACTAGCTCCCAGCTATCTTGTTGCCTATGGGCCTAACTCTAGACTTTTTCTTGATGCAATTGTCTTAATTAGTGACCAAGGAACCTAATACGTTAGTGAAGGCTGGTGTGTACTCACTCACGCACTAAGGAGGATCAGATATGTGAGTATCCGGGCTCGGGGAGAACCACCTGCACCCCAGGGGACAGGGAGCCGGCAGCTGTGGACCCCACCACCGCCAGCCGGGGAGCATGGCTGGCCAGGGCAGCTGGGGCATCCCCCAGCCCAGACTATCAGGTACCTCCCCGGGGACGGGGACGGGGACAGGCTGAGGCTGGGCTGGGACATCAGCCCATGGGTCAGGCCCCAGCTCGTCGGAGCCTGTGGCTGGGCAGGGCAGAGCTGCGGGGAGCTGGAGCCCGACACTTGTACGGTGTCACTGGGGCAGGGACCGAGACAGTGAGTAGTTTCTATTTGGTATAAGGACAATATAATTGATTTTATCCATAGAGAAGTGATACTATTTCGATCTTATGTCGTGGGGGAGAACTCCTGACACCTGGTGAGACAAGTTAGTGTTCACTCTACCTTTCTTTGGACTTTGAGTCCTGTGTGTTAACAACTAGGCAGCCCAGGGTGGGCACATGCCTCATAGCCTTTAAATATTGCTGCCTGAATATCAACAGGTGGAACTGACAAAGCCTTTTCCGGATTGAGATGGAGTCTGGATTGCACTCACTTTGGGAATACAGGATTAAGTCACCCAGTATTACCACATATGCTAGGCTTTTGCTGTGGGGTTTGCCTTCAGTCCCATGCAGATTTACCAGACCATGTCTTCTTGGTTACAGAGGAGCTATAGTGTGCTGATACCGAAGGGACTCAGAGTAAAATGCACATCTATACAATGATAGGGAATCAAACTGAAAATTGTGATCAGAAATATATGTTTAAAAAAAAAAAAAATTGAGTACTTGGATTTACTTTGGTATTTTTGTCATTCCCCTCACTCCTATCTGCCTATTGGATTTAGGGCACATCCGTTACTTGAACAGCAAGAAAGACAATTTCAGCCCTTTGAAGTATTCCAAGTTATTGCCTTCTCTGAATGGGTGGCATTTCAAAAGTATAGATTAATAGTTATTCATTAAATAAGAATGCTTTTTGAATTCATAAAAAATATTGAAAAAATCTTGTGCACTGTGCATGTAACTCCTCTTGAGAAGGAAGAAGGGATCAGGAGAGGATTACATGTGAAACACCTATGGGTACTTTGATGACCTATTACTTTTGATGATATCTCAACTATAAGAATACCTGATACTACTAGTTTAAAATGTCTTAAATATGGAAGGTTTGCCAACAGAGTGGTTAGCACTCTGGAAATTATTTCTTTCCCTACTCCAAGAGAACTTGAGGATGCAGCTCTTCAGGTCATGCAGCAAAGCCTATCTGAAGTTTCACAGATGGGAAACTGTTGTAAAATTTCATGGTCTGTGTGAACTGGGAGAGTCTTCCCAGTGATAGTGTCCTTGTTTGAGTTTTGTGTCAGTCTTCATCTAGCAGGATACTTCTGTATAGGTGGACTTGTGGTGGTGGTATAAGGCATCCTTTGCTCATCGCATGACCTGAAATTGCATATTTAAGTGCTGCTAACTGCAGGGCTGCTCTCCTCTTACTGCTCCCTTGCTGTCCTCCATCGCTGTATGCAAAATACTGTGTATTAAGAAGTAGCATTGGGATAGTTGGATATTTATAAATGAATGATGTCAGTCAAGCTTTAAAGAAAAAAAGAATTTGTTCTGGATAAGGAGGGAGCCTGAGAAGCTCAAAGCTACCTAAGGCAACAGGAGGCTCCTTCAGTTCAGGGTTAGTGCTTGGCCCTAATAGACTTGCTAAACTGTGTAAACTCAAATGTGATTAAAGTGTTGTAATTAGCTTGCTGACATTCACACACTCAAGGGAAGGCAAGCAGCATTCCTTGGCAGAAGTAACATGCCGGGGTAGCTGACAGTGTGTCATGGCCTATTTAAACAGGCAACCTGTCTGTTATGCTGATTTATGGTCTTCTGGGTAAACAAACAAATGATCTCTGCTTTCACACTACCTGCACAGCAACTGGTACAGAAGCCCTTTCAAAGGGTTTGGTCCTAAACACTTCCTTTCTCTATATCCCTGTTTCTTGAGGTATGGACAGGTGCTGAGGAACCCTGGCTTTCTGCCTACATGAAATACAACCAGTCCAGTCTGGAGCTTACTCATGCTGTAATTTCACAATCAGCTTAGCCTGCCATGTAGCAGCTCTACTGTTAAAAAAGGCTGTCCTGTACTGATCTCTTTAGATACACTTGGCCTCTGTTCTTGCCCATGCACCTCTTCTCCCACTCCTTTCCTTTTTGTGGGGCATTGTGATGAATAACTTAAGAACTGGGGAGCAGATTAGCTGAAACTAACCCAAGGGAAAAAATGTGGTAGAGGAACATTTGTGACAATGAAGTCAGTTGGAAATAGAGGCAAAAAATGAGTAAGGAAAAGTGTAAAATGGAAGAGGAAGAAAAGAAAAAATGTGATAAATGAGCCAACAGAGGGAAGAGGTGAATGAGGAGAAAAGTGTATCATGAAAGCTAGGTATAGAAGAGGTGTTAAATGGATGTATTTAAAACTCAGTGCTAAAAGCACAAGAGAATAGGAGGTTATAGAGAAGATCAGGAGAAAAATCATAGATATGAACAGATGAGAAGCAGGGCAATGGTAAAATAGAATGGTTAACCTTGCTTTACACAGGGACTGTATAGAAAAAGGTGAAATAAAAAAATCACAGGGACAATTCATAGATCATAAGTCAGAGGGAAAAGAGAAGTGGTTAAAGAAATAGAATAAGAAAAGTCAAAACAACCTTGTATTGATAGGTGGGAATTCTGTGTTGACCAAGGTCAAAGCAAGAGAGGATGTAAGAGGCAGCACTTTGCCTTTCTTGTTGAGCCTGGCAATAAGTTCGCTGAAATAACCAAGGCTAAAGGCCAGTGGCAATGTTTAGGAGGAGGAGCAAATATCAGAGTGAGAGAGAAGGGGGAGATCTGGCAGTGGCATGATAACAGCAACATGAAGTGAGGTTGGAACAGAATGAGAAAAAGGCAAAGAGCTGGAAATGGTAAGTGGCAGAAAGAGAGAAGCTTGGTTCCTTTGCATTGGTTTTATGGAAATTAATCTCAACTGGGAACATTTGGGAAGGAGAGGTTTACTTTGAAAGGCAGTCATTTTAGCTGCTGTTCCAGAGTGAGGTCTGAATTTCTCTATGACAGGCAATAGATTGCATGAGATCTACAAGCAACTAGAGAATATGTACCAAAGGGCATCTCAAAAGTGAACTTAGACCAATTCAGCTAAATGTGCCAGATGCTGATGAAAGATTTATTTCTGTGCTTTGGAGGCTGATATATTTAGCTCTATCTTCCTTTGGACTGTGAAGCTGCAATGAAAGGCAAATGTGTATGTCCCCATGATACAATATGGTGCACTTTTAGAAATTCCCAAGCAAACTTGGAGCAGGCCCATATGTCTGCCTGGTTTGATTCAGTGCTGTGTGAGTCCTAGGACAGTGACCTGGAAGCAGTATAGCTACCTCAGCTTCTGTTCTGGATTTAGTTCATTCAAGCACTAGCTGGGAGTCTCTACCACGCTATACTTGTGGACATGTGACCCTGTCCAATGTGGCAACTGGGAAGTCCTAGCTGATCACAAAGGTGTTTCATGATGTTGCCATAGCTATCCTATTTGTTCATTTCAAATGGGATATATATATCCTATTTTTATTTTAGTGTATTGGGTCTGGCTGAGATGGAGTTAATTCTCCCCATAGCAGCCCTTGTAGTGCTGTGCTCTGCATCAGTAGCTAGAAAGGTGTTGATAACACACCAGTGTTTTGGCTACTGCTGAGCAGTGCTGGCACAGCATCAAGGCTGTCTTTCCAACATTTTTGCCCCCCCCTCAATGGCAGGCTGGGGCAGGGCAAGATCTTGGGAGGGGACATAACCAGGACAGCTGACCTAAACTAACCAAACAGATATTCCATACCATATGACATCAACTCAGATATAAAAGCTAAGAAAAGGGAGATGGAAGGGGGGGCATTTTGGTCTTCCAGAGCAACCACTGTGCCTACTGATGCCCTGCTTCCCAGGAGGTGGCCAGACATCGCCTGCTGATGGGAAGTAGAGAATAACATAATTTGTTTTTCTTTGCTTTCACACGCGACCTTTGCTTTCACTTTATTAAACTGTCCTTATCTTGACCCACGAGCCTTTTGTTATATTTTCTCCCCCCAGTTCATCTGAAAAGGGGGAGTGATAGAGCAGATTTGGTGGCACCTGGCATCCAGCCAGGGTCAACCCACCACATTTAGTTAGCATAAAATACAAATAACTTAATCAATTATTAGTTGTCTGGGAATTAAAATCCCTGGCTGACTAGCTTCAGTTGACTTCATGAACATTATTTGTACTTATCACCCTTCTTGCTGCTTCTAACATCAGCTGTTCCCATTGGGGAATTTTTCCTTTGGCAGTTTTTGCTACAAGAATGATATTTATGGATCTCTTTGTGGTGTTGGTCCTCTACTTCTCAATTGCTTTGTATCTTTTATCATTTGTCTATGCATTGTATCTTTCTTCCACATTTAGTTCAGTCTTATATTCAGCTCTTGTGTACAGAGGGTGCTACTATACTTTGAGCAGGTATTAAAAAGTTTAAATCTAAGCTGTTACAATGGTCCTAGAAATTTCCCTTTGGAGCCTATACTGACTTGCATAGCATATGGTAAGGCATGGATAAGGCTGATCTCTTGTCTCTTTCTTTGCAGCATGCTATTGATGCTGATAATGCTGGAGTCAGTCCCATAGGAAATTCCTCTAACAACAGCAGTCATTGGGACCTTGGAAGTGCCTTTTTCTTTGCTGGAACAGTCATCACAACTATAGGTATGTTTATGTTTGTCTTTTAAAATACATAGTCACACTGAGACCTGGATAATGAAATAAATTTAAAAGTAAGGTAGATGACAAAGAAATAAAGTGGCTGAACTGTATTTTTCTCAATTCTCACAAGGCATGCCTCTGGTATGTGTCAAGGGCATTGAGTCTCCAGGTTAGTATCAGAAGCTGTGTACATAATTGGGGTAGAATAGCAAAGCTGAACTGAAAACAAGTAGCACTGATGTAGCTAAGGCTTTATAAGCCTGTTCTTCATGTAGATGCAGGTGATTTTAACTGTCACTAAAAAGATCAAGAACCAGTACCCGATGAAATAACTATCGTATGGTTGTTGGGAATTTGGATTTTAATATTATAGATTAATTTACCCATAAGGGTAACTTTCTTCCTAAGTACATCAATTAATTTTGACTTATGCTCTGAAGTTTGATATAATTAATTCTTCTTATACCCTGCTCCTTGTAACTGGAAATGTGTTCACATAAGTACCACATCCTTTTAAAAATCCTTCCTCGCTTTCATAGTAATAATTGCAAGGGATTCCATGACTTGTACATTGTGTAAAAAAAGCTCCACAAATTTTTTTTCCATTCTAGAATTCCTGACCTTGAAATATTGACATATTTCTCTGCATTAGATGAAGGGTATACTGAACTGCTCCATTTACTTTTCTTGAACTGCTAATTTTATTAAGTTCATTATTCAGGCCCTTGTCATCTGTGTCTCCTATACATTGTATCCAAAGTACTTTGTCCCTTGATCTCTGAATGCTGGCCTTAGATATGCTAAGGTTTTTGTCCTCTCCTCTGCGAGCCAGTTCCTCTCTTGAAGATTCTCCAGGCAGTTCGGATTTCAGAAGAAGCCCTGAAGGGAAAAAAATGATAAACTGGTAACACTGATGATAAGGTTAAACTGCTGATAGTTATACAGTGGTTTGATAATTTTAAGCTTGATTTCAGTGCTGTCATAGTTAGAGGTCAAGAGATCTCATTATTTGGAAACCACTGGCAAATTACTGCTTTTTATTTGCATTGGCTTTGGGTATTCTGATTTAAATACAGGATAAAGTGCTTTTCTGCATTATGGCTGTGATACACACACTGGTGACTGTATAGACAAATAATCTGACAATCATGTAATCCTTCATTAAAGTGTGAGAATCTGACTGAATTCTGCAAGTTCTTTATGCAGCTAATACAACAAAAAAATCCTATGGCAGTTACAAGGCTCACTGTGGTGATCATCTCAAACAGTGGAGTCTGTGCCTTTGGCTCCGCCTTTTCTGTGTTGTCAGAGTGAGGGTGAAAGAGCGATTGTATGGAGTGTACTCCTCTCTGTGTTCCTCTATATACTAAGCTACATTACCATGTATTTTTAATGGTAGCATAAAACCAGGGGGTGGAGAGAAAGGAAACATTTCTGAATCAAATATAAGAAAACCCTCCCTTAATATTTGTTTACTCAATAGACCCAAGTGACAAGCTTTTAAATTACTCATTAAAGTAAATGCCACTATGTAGGCATAGTTTATGTAGGCATATTCATTGACATCTGCTATTTAAATAACTTATTGAAAAGAGCTTGGATTTCTGCCCATATTTGCTTTAAATTCTCCGTGAATGAGATTTTCATAGGCTGCATAAAGTCTATGTATTGTTTCTGGGCATGAAAATTATTCTATTTTATCCACCAGAGCCATGTTAGAGCTCGTCTTAGGCAGACACTCAGCAGACTACCTGGTCAACCTCAGTCCACTGGCCTGTGTAGCCTGGATTTTCTGGGACTTCTAGGACAAACCAGAATCACAGATACAGCCATGAAAAGGACTGTGGGTTGGGGGCAGGCAGTTGTGCATCAGCGTAGTCCTTTCACCATCCTATGACAGAGAGATGTATCCAGTGCCAGTGTCACAGACCTAACAGGATTAGGACCTTGGAGCCCAGCCTTAATTCCCAAGGACCAGGGGGAATTGCTGTAGATGAAGCAGACACTCTCTTAGATCACCATGTCTCTTGATGCTCTGCGTTTCCACTTTATCTCATCAGTGATCTGTGATTGTGTGATCATTTTTAATTTTCAAATAATTATATATAGTCAAAATACACATCTCTATAACATTTCTGTGAAGATACCTGATCTTGAATTAAAAGGTGCAAATATTACTGCCACAATTGTTTTTTCTTTTTAACGTCAACATTTTAACAGCAATACCATGGCTACTAGGGTCATAATGCTCTATGTAGATTCCTACAGTTAAATTCACATGGGTGATGTGGAGAAGTGCCTGAAAAAACAGTGGTAACTAAATGTAGTTTACTGCATAGAATGGGTGGAGAGCTGTCCTGTGCATTCATCAGCATGTTAGACTTTTAAGAATACCACAGAGGAGTGCTCCAAACAAGATTCCTGCTACCTTCCAGGGTGCAAAGGGCCTATTACTCATGCTTTCCACTTGTCTCTCTCTAGATTGCCTGATCAACTTCCTATTTACATGTTGGCTATAGAAAAGCCAAGGTAAAGAGGATTGCAGTGTTTTGAAATAGTTAACAGAAGATCTACTGATCATGATAGACTTGGGCACCTAAAAGATAGTCCATCTCTCTTTAGGTGCCCTGTGTCCTTTTCTGCCAGTGTCAGAGGTTCCCAGTATCTTGCCTAGAGTTACAAGGCTGGAAATGGAAATCAAATGTGCCCAAACATGCTTGGGCCAAAAAGAGAGTTTTCAGTCAGGATATGCAACTGGGTAATTATGTCTTGGTCAGAATCTGTCATCTTTTCAACAGCCCTGGGTTATCCGAACAGAGGGTGGAAGGCAGGCATGTATGTGCCTTTATTAAAGGATCAATAATGATTTTAAAACATAAATGGAGTAGGATCTTCAGAGGGAAGGCTTAAAAACTTCCTTGTTAAAACCTATTAAAAAAACCTCATGAAATACAAACGTTAGGCTCTTTATTGTTAAATTGAAAGGGGAACTGAATGAAGAGTTCAAGGGCGGATTCTTGTAGCGTGGGTACACTTTGGAGGCTGCGGTGTGACTAGTCAGTGTGATGAGTGGCTGTGGAAATTATGAGCTAACCACTGAAAATGAGCCTTGTCAGGTGAATCACACTCCCATTAGGAAGTTATTGGCACAGCCCAAGAGGAGCAGCAGCACACAGGCACCAGGCCAGGACAGAGTGATTTTTGTGCCATGATAAGTCAAGCCAGGTTAACTAATCAAACAACAACTCTAGATAGGACCTGTATCTATAGAAAATATGGGTAACTGAGGCTACAAGAACTAAATCACAGAGGGTAGCTTGTCTGCGAAATGACATCAGGCTGTGGAAAGTCTGTAAATGGGAAATACATGTGGAAGAAAGGTATCCCTGCAGGAACAGCCCATTAATTTTTCTAAAAAGCAATGTATGAATTCTGAGAGTCTGACAAATGTTTTTCTCCTCAGGGTATGGGAATATTGCTCCAAGCACTGTTGGAGGCAAGGTTTTCTGCATCTTGTATGCCATCTTTGGGATTCCACTGTTTGGCTTCTTGCTGGCTGGGATTGGAGACCAACTTGGAACCATCTTTGGGAAGGGTATCGCAAGGGTGGAAAAAGTTTTCAGAGTAAGCTCACTGTCAATTTTTTGCTTGGGTTGTATGAATTGCTTTTAATTCTGTTGCTATTACTTGCAGTCCTTTTTACATGTTGAGCGCCATGAAATATTTACATGTCTAGTTGAGATGATGCTTAATCTCCTTAGGGGCCTCTGTAGTCAGTGGAGAGAAATAGACTTCTCTAGATGGTGGTTGCAGGCATTATAGATCAGGCTCTGAATTTCCTTCTTGAGGCTATCTCTGGGCAATGTATCTCCTAAGCTAGTCTCCTGACAAGGACTGCCTGTAAAACAGCCTTCAGGTTGCTTTGGACATGTGTGTCCATTCACTGAAAATAGCGAGAAGGTAGTATAACTTCCGGAGGAACAGGGCTGCAGAGTAGGTCCTGATGTATTACTAATAAAGCCTAAAGGACTTGGAAAGCAGGGTTATTGGAGTGAATGTGAATTTGGCTGAGTGGTATACTTTCACTGCAAGAGGACAGGTGCATTGGAGTAGATCTACAGCTGCAAAAACTGGCATAATGCCACTGACTGGAATTGTCTTCATGGTATTTACCTGCCCTGCCTACCATGGGTACGTCCTACACTAGATTTCTGTATAGACTTTTTCATATGTAAGTTCCCTTCATGTTGCCAGTACCCTCTATTTTTGAGTCTGTATCACCGTAAGCAATTCTTTTGCAAGCAGTGCCGCAGACCTGGCAAATGCTGTTTTGCTAATTTGCCGATGGTTCTCTTCAGGGATTCTCTCTTGGTTCCCTTGGAGGTGGCGTAACTGGAGGTACGTCTTTCCAGGGATGGAGTGGATGAGAAGCTGTCCAAGCTGGTTAGTTTAATAGGCATCTATTTCTAAAACATTGCCACAAATGAGAGCAAATTACTTGTAACTGTTTTTGAAAAGAAGTAATTGAGTATTAGACTGGAGTATGAGCAATTTCCCTTTTGATTAAATTACTGTGAAGTGTCCCAGACCAGCCATAAGAAGTACCTCTCAGGCTAAATGTGGAGAAAGGTGACTAGTGATTATGGTTGAGTAAGCATTTACCTGCCTGACTGGAGAACACTTGAAAATGGCCTACATTTTCATGAAATGAAAATAAAATTATTGAAATGTGGCTCAGGTTGGGCTTGCCAAACCAGAAGTAGCTAAGATCACTAGTTTCTTACCTAGCTTCTTACTGTACCTGCTTCACCTCAAAGAAATATCTGGACCTTCCAGTCTGCTTCTGCCCAAGGAAAACTACAGTCTTATAGTCACGATATAAATTGAGAGTCAGAAAACCTTTGATTAATTGTCAGCTGTACTATTGGCTTTCTGGGTGATGAGGTCAAGACCATTAAACTGTCAGCATGATAGTTTATAAGTAAAATAATACATGTTCTAATTGAAGTATTTTAAGATTCATAGATGAATGCTGATACTAATTTTTCATACAGAATGTAGCCCTTTGGCATGTAATGGGAGTTCTTTTGGTATTCATAGTACTCCTTCCTTTTCTTGAGTTAATGCAGTTGTTTGTTGTTTATAACCATCTAAATGATTTCTTGTCCTCCTTGGTATTTTGTCAGGTTCCAAAGCAATTGAGAGATCTGTGGTCCCCTTGTTTAGCCAAGATATATGTTTATTCCTTTTATTTTGATTCCCATAAATCCATTGTATCTGTTCTTTTGTGATTTGGTGGACGGGGTTATACATAATTTTCTTCAAAATTCCTAGTAATGAGGTTCAGCTATTTGAAGTATTCCTGATATAGTTTACAGTTTACATGCATCTTAGTAACTTGTCTTAATATCAGTGGTTTCACTTTATAAGATTATTTACATAATATTTGATATATGATACATGATAACTAATATATTATACATGATATATACTTTATATTGTTAGCTAATGGAGAATATAATAATAATAATTTTAGTAATTATGTAAATTATTATCACATTGTGTTTACATTGTTAGACTGCACAAATGTTTGGACCTAATCAGAGAATCCACAAATGCACTAACAGTTCTTGATTTAATCCTGAGGAGTAAACAAAATTAGTTCAATGTGTAACTCTTGTTTTTTACTTTGTAACTGTCTCCATAATGAACTCAAATTCAGCATGTTTGTGGGTATAAAGCAACATGCTATAACCTTTAAAGGGAGGACATAAAAATTAGGAGAATAGGTACGAGGAAACTAAAAGGAACAAATGTAGGCTAAAAAGACACTGACAGAGGTAACAAAATGTTGGATGGTGTGCCTCACAAATCTTTTGGAGTTAGCTGAGGGGACACTGAGTGTGTATCAATGATCTAGTGATATAATGAATTGAATTTCTGGAAAGCTTTTGACAAGTTTTCTCATCAAAGGCTATAAGGAAAGCACACATCAGTATATGCTTAAAAGGTAAATGGAGATGAGTGATAGATGGTAGCATTATCAGTGTGATTTTACTGGAGTCCTTCTGGGATCTTACTGTTTTAACAGAGATGGCCTGGAATGGTTCAGACAACAAGGTAAGTATGCAGGTGACAAAGTCTGCAAATTACATCTCTAGATGTTTCAGGATAGCTAAAACAGAAGCTGCAAAAGGGTGATAAGATGACAAATGGAACCCAGTGTTGGCAATACAAAATAATGGATATTTCTTGAGTTTGAGGAAAGAAATCCTAGTATATTCATATAGGCATGGTACCAAATTCCACTTTTCCAAAAGGGACTTGGAATTACCATGGAGGGTTCTCTGAAAATAACACTGAAACTTAGCAGCAGTTAAAAAGGGAAAAAAGAGTGTCAGGAAAGGGGTTCAAACCCAAAAGACCATTTTACCACTGCACAAATCCATGGTGCACTTGCACCATGAATATCACATGCAGTTTTAATCATCGCATTTTGAAAAACAATTAACAGAAATGAAAAGCAGTGCTAGGTCTTCCCCCACAGGCCTTATAGCTGAGCCTCTAAGATGGCATTTACTAGCTACTGGTATTATTTGCCTTCTAGTGGGTCCTCAAGGGCAATTTCGGACAGTCCAGCTTGTATCCCTGGGGAAGGGAACGGGAAGAAACTTTGCACATGTCCTGGACATTGTAATGTATCAAGTTTTCATGTGCATATGCCTCAACACTGCTTCTGTCTGTCTTCAGTTGCCTCTGTTTATCCTATTAACCCTTAGGGATGTTACATGGCTGATGTCAGGGCAGCCGAGAGCTCCTGAAATCCTTGCAACTTTGTCATCATCTGTGCAGGTGGATGGGACTTGAAGGCAACTTGATCTTGCATTGTGGTCAGGATCATTTCTGAAGCTAGGCAAGAGGCAATATGCATACACTGGCAGGCAAGAAGGGAGGAAAGTTTCTCTGTCGGCACAGCAGTGTTTTCACCCAATGCATTTCCTTAACAGGTCTCTTGCTCCACTCAACAGTGTAACTGTGAGCATGAGCCCACACCACGCATGGGACAGCTTGCCCCTGGCATCCCCTGGCATAGCTGGAAAGATGAAAGGAGGATTCCTCCCCCAGGAGCTGTGCTAGTGCACTTCTGCTGCCTCTGACATGACCTGTGTGGAGCCTCACCAAACCTACATTAACTAGCAGCACAAATTAGAGCCTAAGAATGCCACATTTGGTTATTGCAGTGATCAGCCCATGCACTCTGTGGGAATTTTAAGAACAATTTGAACTCCATAAAGGGGGAAAGAGATCTGCTCTTATCAAATACACACTATACCCCCAGTATCAAACGAATATTTCAGCAGAAGGATCTGGACACATGCCACTGCTCATCTTGTAATCCAAAACGTTGCTGCTGTTTTGGTGTGTAGATAACCAGGAAAACAACTATTCATTTGTGACTAGGTAGGGCTGAAAGTGTTTCATTGCAAAATAACGCTTCTAAAACAGGAACTTTTTATGTACCATTTTAGGAATGGGAAGCACTGGCAGAGTGACGCTGCCTGGGATACAAGGAGGTATCCCAAACACCACGCTTTGGCAGGTCTATGCCATCTGTCCTACTGTAGAAATCGTGTTTGGTACAAGTAAATAAACATCAACCAGGTCAGAGACATAAACCAAAGCATCCCTCACGCAAGCCCTACCTACTCAGCTACTGATTTTTCCTATATGTCCCATCTTCAATAATCTGAGACGGAACCTGGCTACTAGTCTGTTCTCACATAGTGTGATTCCCCAGAAAATGGATATGTAGAGTGCCACCAGATTCACTAGCACTGGTTACAAGCATTCAATATCTGGGTTCAGTGATGAATCTGTCCTCCCGGCCCATCTGAGAAAATCACATACAAACTCAAAATCTACTTAAAAATTTGACAAGTCGTAATTATTTTCAGCTGGCAAAGCTTTCCAGACACTACAGAAGCGAAATATGCACTCCAAGGTGGCACAAAACCATAAAAGAACTATTGCTATCTTACATATGTGAGGGATCTTATGAACGACCTGAGACTGTTTCTATAATAAACAGCAGAACAAACCCCATTCTTTTGGCTTGCTCTGTACACACAGAGGCTGCAAGCATCTAAAGATAGAAAGTAAAGCACTCCATAGGCAGAGTGCACAGTTACAGAATGCAGCAGCTGTCATTATCATGAGTTAAATATAGGCTAAATTCAGATAGTCTTTATTCAAATCTTGTAACGAGTGTTTAGATTCTCACTGGAAGTAGATGGGACAAGCATAACCTGACAGATCTTCCCGCATCTTGCAGTTCAGTACAGATACAGGCATTCAGCCTGGGCACAACGTGCTTCTGAGAGTGCTCCAGGATTTTCTGGCTTTTGAGGTGAAGCCACTGTGAGCAGTTCCTGGACTTGGTTACTGCTTTCACTCCTCTGGCTTACAGCACGAGGCTGAGGACAGGTCTGGCAACACAGCTGGTAGAGCGTGAATTGCAATACAGGGATGTGAGCAAGCAGCCAGACATGGATGGTGGCAAGGCTGCACCCGTGAAGCTCATGTCTCAAGAAAATGCACTACTTTGTGCAGACATGCAATGCCTC